GTTCAATCAGTTCTGTACAGCAAAGGCAGTCCATCAAGCCTCCAATTGTTCAGGGATCATACATTATGAGGAAACCCTGAACTTGCCTTGGTATAAGAATGATATTACATTGTGCATTCTCTGTTGCTCACCTCTAAAGCTGTTAATTGTAACAAGGTAGAGGACTCTTCTCCACAGTGGTTCTACCTTTGGAAAAAGTTTTCTTTAAGGGATCATCAGGTTACTTTACTATAAGCCCTGGAGACCACTCTGTTCTCTCTGGCCCTTCATTAAATGATTCTAATAGTGATTTTTTTTTAAAATAATGGTGGGATTTGTAAATTTATAACTGTTGGCTGCTTTTTTATTGTTGAGGAAGGTTATTTATTATGCTAAGCTATAAGCGATTTAGTGTCACATACTGATTCACTTAGCAGAATGTTAAATCTGCTCTGGGTTTCCAATGTTATTCAACATCTACATAAAACTACTAGGAGAGATCATCAAGGGACTTCACTTTAAAGAGAAAAAAACTCAAATTTATTATCATATTCATTTGCAAGAATTTTTTTAAAAAAAACTGATTTGTAGGCAAAAAGGAAAAGTCTATCAACTAAAATTAATTGATACATTAACTGACCCTTATTTTTAAAGTGCCAGATTTGTCCAGTTACATGTGTTTCTCTGCTCAGTTACCACACAACACTTTAGACCATTTATTTTTGTAAATGCTTGCCCATGCACAGCATTCAGTATGCACTATGTACTCATGCCAACTGAAATGCAACAGATGCCCAGTAGGAGTAGGGCTTTCTTGTAGAGATGGCAACATTACAAGTATCCTTCCCACAAACTATAGCATCAAAAGCTTTTGGAATTAACTGATTTTATGGATTTATTTTTCTGTTGGTGCAAAGTTATTTCTTTTCTATTTATTTATCTGATTGTATTAGAGCTATCTTTTCCTGTATTATTATATTTCTACTGGTGTTTGTCTATCATTATACCAGTTTGTAGTTTAATGTATACTATGGTGAAGAAACAGTATAATCCATTCCTAGTTAACAGTGGCATTTAAAAAGACACATTAAAACTTTTTTTAAAAATTAATGCTGTGATTTTTAGCTTCTATACATCTTAGAAGCTGTCCTAGATCATAACATGATTATTTGATTATAATAAATTATTTGTGTGTGACACAACAGTTCAAGAACTTTTAAAATAGAACATTATTAAGTGCAATAAATATCAAGCATAAGCATAATATGAAGCACTATTAAGTGCTTCTTCATGCCAAACACTATTTTCCACTTCATTCTCTACCTAATAATTTTGTTCCTCTTTCTTCCAGTTGTAAATATGATAATGAACTTAGACAACAGTAATCTAAAAAAAAAAAAAAATACACTTGCACCATGTAACCTATTAAGGGTCCAGGAACCTTATTCCATGTGCTATCAACTTGCAGGTACAGAAAACTGCTTTCTTTTCCACTGTTTTGCAGTGCCGGCCTACAGGTGTACAATCAACTTTAAGCTTCTGACTTTGGCCTATTGACCCAATCTGAGCTGCTACAGGTTGCCCAGAAACCTTCAAGAGACTACTGCATTTTCTACTCTAACGTTTCTCAACACAACATACCTTTACTTATACAAATGGTGCAATATATGAATGAGAAGCCATAGAGCTACACTCTTTACACAGAACTTCTAGGAAGATGTTAGTTTTATTCTCACCTCTACTATAAAACTATTACATGGCCAAAGCCAAGGTCCTCTCTCATTCTCATATCCCAAAGTGCAATGCAGGCACAACAATATTTGACCTACTTTAGAAAGTTATTCTATAGATTAATGAGATATAGTGCTTTACAAACTAACATACTAGTTAAAATATATTATAAATGCTACATATTACTTTATAATGAAATAGTATCACTTTTCCAATCACATTCTTATCAGGAACAGATTTTTTTGGTTAAATATTACACTCCAAAATACTGCAACATGTTGAATTCTATACAAGTACTAATTAAATGTATAGATGTATTCCTTTCCATGAGCATAAAGAAAATGGGTCAAGATAATCAAGTCATGTTCCTCTCAAATCCATTGATTGGCAATTTCTGACAAAGTCTTTTTTTGTCCTGGTTTCTTATTATAAATCCAGAACTAAGTTTCTTTCTTGCCATTTTATGTAATATGCTCAACTGACTGTGGAGGCAGCAGACCTGTGCTAAATTTCACATTGTACGATATCTTTTTATATCTTCCTTCTTTTATTCAGGCTTTTTTCCTTTGGGAAGACAGACTCTTTTCCATTAGTATGCATGAATATACACCGACTTTCTTAACTACAGTGGGGCAAAAAAGTATTTAGTCAGCCACCAATTGTGCAAGTTCTCCCACTTAAAAAGATGAGAGAGGCCTGTAATTTTCATCATAGGTATACCTCAACTATGAGAG